ATGGGCGTAGAGCGGTGTTGAACTTTGCGCACAAGCTGTTTGTGTTGAAGTAGGTGTTGGCTAGACTCGATAGTGGAAAGCTGCGTGTCCCTGACAGGAACCGGTACATTCGAACGTTGAGGACGGTTTCGTGAAAGACATCTAGATATAAGACTTTCAATCTTTGTTAAGATACCCAATTTGTGTTAGGGGATGGGTGCAGTGTACAGTTCAACTTAGTTGAGACGCTGTTTTCTTGTGCTCCAATAGGTGTCTGCTTCTGATATCCCTGCAAATTCCCATACAGGAAGCAGGGCAGCAGGAGCCAGAGGTGCAGCGCCTGCGAGACGGACACCGGGAGGGAGGCGCGGCGTGGTTGCGGACCGAGTTGGAGGCCAAGAGCACTTCCGACGTGCGGCGGCTGTGCGCTATGTTGGAAGTGCCGCAGCAGCGCGACGGCAGAACCCTTCGGAAGGAGCAGCTGCTGGAATCCATAGTGGACAGCTTCTCATCGCAGGAGGGCTGGAGTAGGGGAACGGGCGCGGAGTCTTTAGTGCAACTTGGCGCGCAAGCTGTCTGTGTTGAAGTGGGTGTTGGCTAGACTTGATAGTGGAGAGCTGCTCTTCGCAGGAGGGGTTGTGTTCGGGGATGGGTGTCTGCTTTTGGTCTCCACGCAAAGTCCCTGACAGGAACCGGCACGCCCGAACGTTGAGGACGGTTGCGTGAAAGACATCTAGATATAAGACTTTCAATCTTTGTTAAGATACCCAATTTGCGGCGCATCCGAACGTTGAGGACGGTTTTGTGAAAGACATCTTGATATAAGACTTTCAATCTTTGTTCAGATAACCAATTTGTGTTAGGGGATGGGTGCAGTGTATTGTTCAACGTAGTTGAGACGCTGTTTTCTTGTGCTCCAATAGGTGTCTGCTTCTGATATCCCTGCAAATTCCGATACAGGAAGCAGGGCAGCAGGAGCCAGAGGTGCAGCGCCTGCGAGACGGACACCGGGAGGGAGGCGCGGCGTGGTTGCGGACCGAGTTGGAGGCCAAGAACTACACCCACTTGCGACGGCTGTGCGCTATGTTGGGGCTACCGCAGAGGCGCGACGGCGGAACCCTTCGGAAGGAGCAGCTGCTGGAATCCATAGTGGACTGCTTCTCATCGCAGGAGGGCTGGAGTGAGGGGATGGGCGTAGAGCGGTGTTGAACTTTGCACACAAGCTGTTTGTGTTGAAGTAGGTGTTGGCTAGACTCGATAGTGGAAAGCTGCGCTTTGCAGGAAGGGTTGTGTGCGGGGATGGGTGTCTGC